AGAGAGCCATCAAGCTTATGTACATATATGAAACAACATAGTGTATATAGTGTTCAGTACTACCTGCAGATTTAGGCATCCACGGTGGGTCTTGGAACACATCCCCCCGAGGATAAGGGGGGACTACTATACTCATCCTCACCAATACTTGTTATTGTCACCTTTTTGATCGTCACTGTCCTAGATGTGAAGTGGTATCTCATTGAGGTTTTGATTTACATTTCCCTAATGACTAATAATGTTGAGAATCTTTTCATATGCTTTTGGCCATTTGAATACCTTCTTTGGAAAAAATGTTTTGTTTGAATCAACCTTTTGCCTATTTTTAGTTAGGTTATTTGTGTCTTTCTATCGTTGAGTTGTAAAGAGTTCTTTATCTTCTGGATCTATATATCACTTTGAACGATGAAGAAAACTTTCCCCAGAAGCCCCCAAAAGCTAGTTCCCACAAGCTGTCCCTACTTCTCTTTGGCCAGAATTGTATCATATGTCCATGGCTAAAGCAGTCACAGGCCAGTGGAATGGAACCATTATCACTGGTTTTAATTCACCTCATGGGGTTGGAAATGGGTCCAACTTCCACCAAACATATGGCTGAGCTGAGTAGGGGAGATATTTTACAATAGAGGAGCCCTGTTAGGAAGAGGAGAATGGCTGTGAGGAGGCAACTCTACCAGCCAGGGTCCCAGGAGGAAATAGATGGCTGAAGCAAAACAGGATAATATGAGGAAGTTGTATTTACAGAGGGACCTGGAGCATAAGCAGCAAACTTACCGCTCTAGGCTTGAAGGAACAAGAGTGGAGAGTGAATCTGTTGGGGCAGATAGAAGACACAAGCACAGCAACCAGTAATGTCAATCTTAACCCTCCTTCATTGCTGTCTTTTCTTGTGTTTTGGGCGATGGTTTTCTCTGCTTTTACCTGTCACTACTGACATGTATGATTTTTGTCTTCTAAAACTTATCTGATCTACTGAGCTTACCCTTTTTCATTCATATCCTCAGTGCTGTTATGCGTTTATTTCTTGGGTACTTTACTACCAGTTCAAGGGGTTGGGAAGGATGGGAGATAAAGTACTAAACCTGTGTCTTGGACAGGAAACTCTTGCCTTTTTCTAAATTATAATTGAACTCATTGTATATGCAATTTTGTAGTCTACTTTTTTTTTAACTTCAGATGATATAAAAAGCATTTCCCTGATTTAACATTATTCTTCTAAAAAACTTTTATTGATTGATTTTGAGAGAGAGATAAATTTGTTGTTCCACTTATTTATGCATTCATTGGTTGATTCCTGTATATGCCCTGACAAAGGATCAAACCCACAACCTTAGCATATCGAGACAGTGCTCTAACCAACTCAGCCAGGGCTAACATTGTTTGAAACATAATTCTGATCACTAAAGTCATTCATCACATGAGTATACCATACAACTCTTATTTTAACAACTCTTGCAGCATTAACTCCTCCCAACAAATCTCTCCACAACTGTTTTGGGGTAATTTTTGTTTTATAAGTGTTTCACTAGTAAAAATGGGGCTCCAGGCCCAACCGGGTGTGGCTCAATGATTGAGCATCAACCTATGAACCAGGAGGTCATGATTTGATTCCCAGTCAGGCACATGCCCAGGTTGTGGGCTTGATCCCCAGTAGGAGGCATGCAGGAGGCAGCCAATCAATGATTCTCTCAGCATTGATGTTCCTCTCTCTCTCTCACTCTTTCTTCCTCTCTGAATTTAATAAAAAAATATTTTTAAAAAATGAGGCTCCCATTAACATTCTTGTGCATAAATATTTACCTACAATTCAGAATATTTCTTCAGAATAGATTCTTCGAAGTAAAATTGCTATATCAAAGTATATGATCAGTTTAAGTCTTTTGAAACATAATGGAAACTTTTCATAATCTAGGAAGATTTTTGTGAACTTATAGTCTTAAAAGTGCATTAAAGTTCATCTTTGCACCCTTGCCAGCATTACATCATATATTTTTAACTTTACATGCAAAATGGCATCATATTGTTTTACCTTGCATTTCTGTATGTACTAATACAATTGATTTTTTTGAAATTTGTTAAGATTGCCTGGCCGGAGTGGCTCAGTGGTTGAGCATTGACCTATGAACCAGGAGGTCACAGTTCAATTCCCGATCAGGGCATATGCAGGTTCAATTCCCAGTATGGGGTGTGCAGGAGGCAGCCGATCAATTATTCTCTCATCATAGATGTTTTTATTTCTCTCCCTCTTCCTTCCTTTCTGAAATCAATAAAAATATGTTTTAAAATTTTTTTGTTAAGATTATTTTTCATTTGTGAATTGTCTATTCACATCACTTGCTCATTTTTTAAAATGGGGGCGTTAGTGTATTTAACATTCTATCTTTTTGATAGATAATTTACAGAGGGTTACAAAATTTAAAAGGTACAAAAAAGTACATGATACTCCAGTTACTCATTCCTGTTTGAGTTGGCAACCATCAATACCATTTCCAGAGATAATTCATACTTGTACAGTAACTACCTACATATATTTTTTCACACAAATGTTAATGTCACATATATACTCTTCTGTGTCTTAAAAGTTTTTCCATTTAGCACATAAAGATCTGCTTCTTTTATTGGCAATTTGAGATGTTGTTATTTGAGTGTACCATAATTCATGTGCCCTAATGATAGAAATCTAGGTGGTTTCTAATCTTCTACTATCATAAGCAATGCTGTAATAAATAGCTTCATAGATATGAGTGTGTCTGTAGGATGAACTCCTGGAAATGAAATTACTGGGCTAAGGGTATGTGGACTCAAAATTTTTATAGATAGTATAAAGTTCCCTGCATTGAGGTTTTTCCTCTAACCAACGTTTTATTATCAAACTTTTTTATATTTACTAATCAGATAAGTGAAAAGTGGTATGTCATAATTTGAAATTGCATTCTTTTTTTATTAATGAGATTAAACAACTTTTCTTATGCTTAAAAGCCTTTTGAATTCTTTTTCTTTAAATTAACCATTTATATTCTACTAGAGGCCCAATGCATGGATTTGTGCATCAGTGGGTCCCTGGGCCTGGCCTGTGCCCTCTCTCAATCCGGGACCCCTTGGGGGATGTCAGAGAACCAGTTTCGGCCCGATCCCCGCAGGCCCGATCCAGACAGGAGGGAGCCTGGTCCCCACAGGCCTGATCCTGTGCATTGAGCATCTGCCCCCTGGTGGTTAGTGTGCATCATAGCGACTGGTCGACTGGTTGTTTGGTCACTTAGGCTTTTATATATATAGATATTTTGCATTGGTTGTTGGTTTGTTGGTTTTTAAAAATTGCTTTGTAAGAGTTCTTTATAGTGTAAATTGGTCCTTTTTTTATATGGGTTGCTTCATGTATTTTTAATAAATGTGTATGAGTTTAAATATGTAAGCCCATGACAAGGACACCTCCTTTTCCTTGGCCTGGGGAGCGGTGTGCTGGTTGGTATTCTCTTTACCTCAAGGGTGGGTGCTTTAGCTCCAACTTGCTCTATTTTACCTCCTAATTTACCTAAGAGCAAACATAAATTAGCACTGCAAGAGCAATTATTTTTTCCCTAAAAAACAATTCAGTCTCATGTGAGGAAAGCATAATACTGTGCAGCATATTATATACGCCAGAAACAAGTAACAGCACTGTTTCTATGGTTAAAAGTGATGCGTTTCCCTCCTTGGCTGGTTTTCATTACAAAGGGCCCAGTACCTTTGCCTGAGTCATTCTGGATGAATGAGAGATGGGAATGAGTTGGGATAGATGGATGGAAGTAAGAAGAGTAGGCAAGACAGTACTAAAGATCTTTATTTTGAGAGTTCAGATGCTGGGGGACCTCCTCAGCAGAGGTAGTAATTTTCCATCCTGATGAGGGTGGGTGACCCTCTAGAACAGTACAAGTATATCATGTCTCATTAGCTCATAGGACAAATATTGATTGGCTTGTAGTCATTTTAGGATGACAGAGTTGCAATTGTTTGCAATGTTAACTTCAAAGGTTATATGGGGAAATGGGTGGGACTAAGACCAAAGAAAGGTAATTGTGCCATTCCAACTGGAGTGGGGGATCCTCTTTTTAAATCTGTTGCCTTAGGTATCTATTGCTGTGTAACTGATCACATCAAACTTAGCACCTTAAAAGTAAACAGTTTTTATCTCACAGTTTCTCTGCATCAGGGATCTGGTAGCAGCTTATCTGGATTCTGCTCCAGGGTCTCTCAGGAACTGATAGTTACTATGCTGGGACTAAGGTTGTCTGAAGTTTTGTTGTTTTTTAAAAATATATTTTATTGATTTTTTACAGAGAGGAAGGAAGAGAGATAGTTAGAAACATCGATGAGAGAGAAACATCGATCAGCTGCCTCCTGCACATCTCCTACTGGGGATGTGCCCGCAACCCAGGTACATGCCCTTGACCGGAATCGAACCTAGGACCTTTCAGTCCACAGACCAACGCTCTATCCACTGAGCCAAACCAGTTTCAGCATGTCTGAAGTTTTGATTGCGGCTAGAGGACCTGATTCTAAGATAACTCACTCACATGTTGGCAGGTCTTAGCTCCTTACCGAGCGAACCTACACGTAGAGCTAGAATGTCCTCATGATGGGGCAGTGAGTGATCTAAGAGAAAGAACAAGGAGGCAGCCAGCTAGTCTCGGGAGTCACACACTGTCACTCCCACCGTATTCTACTCATTAGAAACAAATCACCAAGTTAGCTCACACTCAGGGAAAGGGGAGCTGTATGGAAGAGAGGCATATCAAAGAATTTGCGGACTTACTTTAAAACCATCACACTCAACATTCCTCAAAAACACTTAGCATACTTCAAACTTTATTCCATTGCTTGAACACATGTATCCATTCACGCCAGAAATATTTATTGGCGTGTTATCTGAATCACTGCATACCATTTTAACCATCAGTTACTGGAACCATTTTATTTTAAAGAATGAAATCCTCCTAACAGTGGTCTTTTTTTCTTCCCAGGTGCTTGTTGGGCTTCTTCTTATTCTAGCAGCCATAGAGCTGGCCTTTGTACTCATAGAAGACTCTGGACAAGGCACGGTCCCTGCCGTTAGATATACCAACCCAAGCCTCTACCTGGGCACATGGGTAAGGCCCGTCACCACGTCTGCCCTGTTTTATCTTATCTCTATTCAAAGTCATGTAGCTGGAATTTACTCTTTTGAAATGAAATAAAGTCCAATGTCATCTACCTTTTTCAAGGGACCTGTGATGAGGCAAAGCTTGATTATAATGGGGCAAAACAAATGTTAGTTTTTTCATCTTCTTTTGAACACTGGTTTATAGAGCCTTCTCCTTAGGGCAAGTACTACCTTTAATGACTAAGATATGTATCTTGTGTACTCATATTTCGCCATCTAAGGATCACATGTGAAACTCAGGTTTATTGATATGAAATAGTTTTCTTAAATGCCATAAATATTACTTTTAAATTGATTGACTGTAGACTATAATCGATGGATCACTGTGTATAGCATTGTTTGTATAAACTTGATGACAGAAACTTGATGTTTCTTCTACAAGCATGATTTTTGGGGGCTGCCTATCCAGTGTTTTAAAAGCAATTGAATTGATGCCATCATTTTAATTATGCCTCATAATTACTTGGATTTCCCGTCTTTCTTGAAAAATCAGGGCCTCCATTCCCACAGGGCAATGGTCAACTAGGACTGAGTAGCAGTTGCCCCCATTAGACCAGTCATGAGCTCAGTATAGTCTCCCCGACTTCACTCAGTACCATGGTCTGCTTGACCCCTGCAGGCATCTTGTTTGGTAACCCTGCTTAGAACAAACAAAGAAGGGTCTAAGACAGTGATGGCGAACCTATGACACTCATTTTTTTGGTTGATTTTTCTTTGTTAAATGGCATTTAAATATATAAAATAAATATCAAAAATATAAGTCTTTGTTTTACTATGGTTGCAAATATCAAAAAATTTCTATATGTGGCACGGCACCGAGTTAAGTTAGGGTTTTTCAAAATGCTGACACGCCGAGCTCAAAAGGCTCGCCATCACTGGTCTAAGAGGTGGTGTGCTGCAGCCCGCTCACAGAGCTGACTGTGTGCATCCCTTCCCAATCCTGCATCTGGGGACATCGTGCTGGAACTTGAAACCCACTACAGTGGGGGTATTTATACCATGGAAATTGGCAACTGCTTAAATCATGGCTTCTCCCCCTCCCCCCAGAATATTGGTTTACTGAGTTTAGGAAACCAACATTTATTCAATTACATCTACTAATAAGTGAGATGCTACAAGGAAGTGTTTTTATTGACTGCTTAATCCGTGATACTATTAGAAAATCGTGATGCAGACACCTTGCCCCTATCCAGCAGAATATGCCTCCATCACCCGGCTGCTGCAGTCAGTGCCTGACGTTAATTTCCTTGGGTCTTGAAAAGATTTTTCTGGCTCCCAAAGTAACTACATTAAAATGCAGATGGTGACCTTCTGCCTTCTTTGCTAACTTCCCACCCCAGTGTGGTGAATAGAGAGGGGGTGCGAACGGGGGTCCCAGGGAGAGCATGGAGGCCCTGACAAGAGAAAGCTGGGTGGTGTCAGGGAGGAAATCTACAGTTTGGCATCTGTGTGCTTTCTGCCCGGCCAGATTAAGTACAAGTCTCCTCCCACGGTCCTCCTGTCTTCCTTTGTTTTCCCACATCCCCTTTGCCTCTTTTCCTTGGCTCGTGACGATGTAGTTCAGAACTTGATGTGACTGTCTCTCTAGCTCCTGGTTTTGCTGATCCAACACAGCAGGCGCTGGTGTGTGCAGAAGGACTCTTGGTTCCTGTCCCTCTTCTGGATTCTCTCAATACTCTGCGGCACTTTCCAGTTACAGACTCGGATCCGGACGCTTTTAAAGGTAAGGAGGGAAGAAAGGGTGACACGAGAGGAAACTGCAAGGCCCCTTCTCAGTCTCAGCCACGGGCCTGCAGTAAGTTGAGTTCCAGGATAGAATCATATTTAGGGGGTTTGATATAGGCTTTCATCACAGATATTCACCTATGTGGGCTGTGTAGACTTCATTTGGATGAAAGGTTCATTTTCTCTTTGTTTTGTTTTTCCTTTTCCCATAGGGCAACAACTCCAGTCTAGCCTACTCCTGCCTGTTCTTCATCTGCTATGCATTCCAGATCCTGATCCTGGTCCTGTCAGCATTTTCAGAAAAAGGCTCATCAGATGTGAGACTTGAAATAGACCCACCGCATAGATTATTTTTGGGGATGGCCCCTTGATCAATATATAAGGCATCAAGGGCTAGGTGTCTAGGTGTTACACAGGTCCCCCGAGATGGCTTTGTCTCTTGGAAGTCCCCCGAGCCCAGAATACAGTATAAGACCATTTTGTGACATAAGGCAATGGAAGGTGACTAGAATATGGAAATATTGACTTGGATTTTGACCTACCAGTCTTTAGCATAGACAGTTAATCCGTACCTCTATGCCAGAAGGTCTGATTGTTGTTCAATTGGTAACCTTAGGGTCTCCAAATAAATGTATGTTGACCAGCCTATTTCGGTACCATATCTAGTTTCTAGAACATAGATCAGTTTCTGATTTTAGAGTCCCATGGAGTTCCTGTTTCCAATTGATTTATTTTCTGATTTTTTGTGTGTTTTGCAGAATCCATCACTCACGGCTTCATTTCTGAGTAAAATTACCTTTAGTTGGTATGACAGGTAGGAAATGCCTGGAGAATGGGTTGTCTCTCTCCCCACCTCCTCAATCGTTGGAAAGTGATGGAAATCTTAATTTTTCAAAATGCCTCCTGTGGCCTCCATATCTCCACTTCTTAGAGTCTGAGGATGTTCTGACAGATTAATTTAGTTAATTCCCTTCATTGGGCAGACTGGAAAGCTGAGGAAAAGATGGAATATATTTGCTCTTGGTAGCCGGGGGGTTCCTTGGAGAAAAGGAAGGGCTGTAAGAAAAGGAGACAGTAGAATAGGAGCAGGGGAATGTGGGGGCAGGCAGTGAGGCACAGATTTGGAGGGCCAGGGATGAATTAGTTGTCCTGGGCTCCCAGAGGATCTGGAGCAGGCATTCTTGTCCTTTGTAGTTCCATAGACTCTTTTGTCTGGTAACACCCAGGTAATGTTTTCAATGAATAAAACAAAAGACAAGGTTATTAAGGAAAACAAATATATTGAAATATGGTTATCTAAATATTATTTTTTAAAGACCAAATGTGTGATGTGGAAATCAAGTGCTTCTTGATTAATGCATTAAATAACAAGATCTAGTGATGGGTCTAACAATGACCATAGTTTCACAATAGTGATGAATGTAAATGAGCTATGAAAACATCTGTGATTTCTCCCAGGGACAAAGGCACAGGTACTCCTTTTTACAACTCTGGTTGGCTGCCTTTACTCATATTAGAAGGAAAAGCTAAATATCAGTTACAAGCTTTTAAAAATAAAGACATAATTTGTTTTCTATCCCTTTTCTCAAATCCTAGGTTGAGGAGCTCTGACCTAGGGAGATAATATGGAGGTGGCCTCCAGATCTGCTCAGTTCCTTAAGAGCATCATGGAGGCCCCTGCAGGAGATGCCAGAGCAGCAAAGAGGCAGCCAGTGTTGAGGAGGAAGGAGCAGGAGCAGGGGGAGGTGGTGCCCTTTTGGCTCTTAATTCAGTAAAGCCCCTCCCCTTCTCTTCTCTTCTCTTCTACCACCTTCTGTGACCCACATTGGACCCCTTTCCTGTTCTCCTCACTCTTCTGTCAAGATTAAAGGGTCAGGAGATGGAGTAGTGGAGCAAGGGAGAAGTCTCGTTCTTCTGGCCCTCCATCCCAGAACTGGGGCGTGGGCTTTGATAGAGGCTTCCAGGAGACAGCTTCCGACCCAGCCTGTAAGGTCTCAGCCTCTGGCTCATCTCATTCTAGCATTGTTCTGAAAGGCTACAAGCAGCCTCTGACGCTCGAAGATGTCTGGGATGTGGATGAACAGAGTAAAACCAAGGTGCTAGTCAGCAGATTTGAAACACACGTGGCCGGGGAGCTGCAGAAGGCCAGGCGGGCACTGCAGAGACGGCAGCAGAAAGCCCAGAGGAACTCTGGAACCAAGCTGCATGGGCTGAACAAGAACCAGAGTCAAAGCCAAGATGTCCTTGTCCTGGTAACTTTTCCGTGAGGGTCTGTGTGAATGTGTTGTATGTCTCAGGCAAGAGGACATCGCGTCATGGTGATTCTGTTCTCACCTTTTTTTACATCATTTATACTTTGCAGTGTATTTTATATTATTATTTATAGTCACAACACTAAGAATACCTTAGTGATGGAAACATAGGGGTATGATGCACTATTTGCTTTCCTTTGGGGTATATTTGAAATTTTCTATAATAAATGTTTATTTGTTTGTTTGTTTGTTTGTTTGTTTAATCCTCACCCAAGGATATTTTTCCATTGATTTCAGAGAGAGTAGAAGAGACAGGGAAAGATAGCAAGAAACATCAAAGTGAGAGAAACACATTGATTGGTTGCCCTCTGCACGCCCCTGACTAGGGCCGGGCCAGGCAGGAGCCTACAACTGAAGTACATGCTCTTGACCAGAATCAAACCCGGGACCCTTCGGTCTGCAGGCCAACACTCTAACCACTGAGCCAATCTGGCTAGGGCTAATAAAATGTTTTTCAAATAGAAAGATAGGATAAAATAATACCTTAGCATTCTAGAATTTGTACTTTAGTGGAATTTAGCATTAACAGTTAATTCGTTGACTTTTTTTAAACTTGAAAATACTTATTGAGAGTCACTGTGTGTCACCAAACCTGAACAAGAAGGCGACAGGGCTCAGGGCTCTGCCCTGGAGCTGTCAGTGCAGGACAGAACCTACACCCGCAGCTCTGGGGACACTGTTGCTGTTTGGTGTTGTACCTAGGAAGAAGCTAAAAAGAAAAAGAAGAAGTCTGGGACCGCAGAAGACTTTCCTAAATCCTGGTTGGTCAAGACCCTCTTCAAAATCTATGGCAT